ACTCTTTCTATTTACAGTGGGAACACTAGCGCTCATGAACACTCTAGTTCTTCTTACTACCTCTATGGAGCAGCGAGAAGTCGCCGGCGACCTGGGGGCCACGATCGGCAGCGCGGAGGTACGTGCACGGGCGAGGTTCCGTCGACGCCGATGCGCGAGAAGGTCGAGCTGTGGGAGCAGTCGCGGGCGCAGCTGCGTGAGGTAGCGGCGCCAGAGCGCTCAAAACTAGCTGAATAAGGTAACAAGGGAGAACTTGTTAACAGGGAAAATTGCGAGGGAAATTAGTATTCAGTATGCATCTAGTTATCATTCAGAGATTCTTGCCATTTTTAATGCATTTTTGCCTACAAAATTGTAAATAGGTCAATATTAATTCATCTTGCTCGCGGAAACAAAGAAATTCTTATAGTTACGCATCTGCGCACATTATTTGTATTAAAGTCATTCGCATTGATTGTTAAATTGCGCACTGTGGTTCGTTAATGTAAATAGTAGTTGTAGTAAAGTTAAATAGTAAGCGAAAAAAGGAATTGTCAAGGATCATTTGCGCAAAGAGATTAATGAATAACTCTTGCTTCACTGAAGAAGGGTACCAATTTTTTTGTTCAGTTGTGTTTCATTTGAGTTTGTCTTGATTTTTTTGTTAGCAACTAGAGGGTTGTAAGAATATTAAACCAAGTTTAATTCATTTCTGTGTTCTTGTTTTGAATTTGCTCTCAACACCCAAACGTTCCCACTACCGTGAGGAATTATAAAGCTCGCAAGGAATGATTTCTGTGAGGTTCCAACGTGTGTGTGTGTGCATGTGTGTATATATATTAATAAAACAGATCTCATTGTATTTTTTAAATGCTGTTAAGTTACAAATGTGACGGGTGTGCACATTTTATGGACTTTACATTGTTTAATTTGAGTTTTTATGGCAGACGTTTGCAGACCAAACTACTTCATAAAACCATATTTAGAATTGCATAGTTGGAATTTGAAATTTGAAGCTTCATCTAAGAAAATATTAAATATCCTTCTGTTGATGGTTTGAGTTTTAATTTATCGAACAATTTTGATTTCTACATTCAGAATACTATAACTTTCAGAAATTACTAAGGATGAACAATTTTTGTATTTGTAAACTTTCTAATGTAGATATAATGTAATAATATGTAATATAATATGTAACTGCTGGCTTTGATTGTCACAGATTTTTATGAAAAAAAAAACGTAAATAAAATGTTTATCCAGTTTCAGGGAACATGTGATACTAATGTCCCTGTGCCAACATTGACCTACTACACAATAACAAAATTTCAGAAAGAAGAAATGGGGATTTGAACTAGCCACTTCATGTGAAAATTTGATTACACATTGTTGTAAATAAAACTTTATAATTGGGAACATTTATCATAGTTTTGTTTGACATTAAGAATCATGATTAATGCATTTATAAAAGCTAAGTCCTTTTGTAATAATTATTTCTTCTTTAAAAATACTTACATTGTTTCCTGACTCACTAGTTTTGGATCACAAACTTATTTGACTAGACTAATTTGAATTTCGTTCAACACTGAGACACCTGCAAATAGTAATTAGAAGTTCAATAAAATTACACTGTGCATAAATACAATGAATACCTCTTAATCGTATTCCATATTCTAAATGAGTAAGCACTGCATGAAATATTTTTATTACAGGTGGCTACGTGCTCCATCCAAAATGTTCATATGCTCATGTCTGATTTTTACTATGTGAGCAGATTGACATTATCAGATGCAAACTGGTATCTAGCTTTTCAGGATCTCTTAGAACTGAGATAGCCAAATTAAATTTGGCTTTATTGTAATGTTTAGTTTTTTGTGGCCTAGAGCAATTATGAGCTATTACTTGTTCATTATGAAAATTTGTAAAAACATAATGTAAATAATTATTTCAATTACAATGTATAATTTTAAAATAAATCTATTACGTGTTTTTCTCATTTCGATTTCCCAAATGTTGATGTCACACTATCAATTCAAGATTGGAAAGTCAAAATATCTCTGTGCATTGGGGCTGGATGAGTAGCACACTCGTGCCTGAATAAGTTACTAAAAAAGGCTCCTAAATATCTCTTACTTTGTGTAATCAATTGGCATGCCGAGGCTGCAAAAATCTGAACTGAAGTGCTCTTCTCTAGGCCAACATAGTTCTGAACTAGCATTCCCCTAAAACAGAGTGGGGTTGGAATAACATTTCATTTATCGATCAAATATCGACAAACTGACAAACACCTCATTTTGGCTTAAGAAGAAGCCGTTAGAACGTTGACCGCCTAATTCTGGATTTAGCTACAATCGCGCCTGCTCCACATCGCTCTGCCTAAGTGCAGTGCATATTTGCATTTTACTTACATTTTATCTGATGAATATCCGGAGCTGTCCGAATATTCATCACAATCATCTATCACACAGCCTGGCTCGTCTCGCCCACTGCTCACTATACGAGGCTAGTGCAATACGCGTTTTATAATTTTGTTTGTAAATGTCACTCCAATGTCTTACCCCAATGAATTATTTTTCCCATTGAACTCTCCCTGAATAATAATGCACAACAATTTTTGTTGAAATGAGGTTGTTTCCGGTTTGAAGAGTTTATCTGGAACACATACTAGACACAATACAAATATCCATCATTTTTGTTATATTAATATTTTCGGTAATGTGTACATTTGTGAGGCAATGTTTACCCGAAGGTGAAGATAATAATAATAAAAAATAAATACAATTATAATATTTATTTTAAATTTATTATAATATCACAATCAAGTGTATTTTTGCAAAGATTTTGAAGAAATGAAAAAAATAAGGTTTTTTTGAAGAGCTGTAGCTTACTTGGTAATTGGTTTCAAAAGAAAGTTTTAAACAAAAGTAATAGAATGTTATGTCCTTTTTAAAATTGATTTGAATAAGATTTCTACAAGACTTAAGGTTAAAGTGTTCAAGAAGGTTAAAGTGTTATGCAGGAAAATTAATAGTTTTTGCGGGTCTCCTGGAGTCTGTGAGGTCGAAAACTTGGGGTTTTAACTAGTGCCAGAGTACTTACAACATACCTAAAGAAAATTGACTTACAGCCATTTTCCAGGTGAAATGTTTGTAGTGACTGAATTACAATCATAAATAACAAACGTTACATGCACACACACACCCTCAGCGACCCAACAATAACTATCGCTCTAGGCAACACATACGAGAACGAAAATCCTGCACCCAAACACTTTTACAACACAAGCGAGGTGGTTCTGAACATCGCTACAGACCTGGTAAGGAATAATAAAAGAAACTGTATTATTGAGGCAGGGGTGATTCCAGAATTTGTTTCGATGGGAGGGGGATATTTCAGTTGGTCCCGAAGCACACATTTTATCATGAAAAGGACAAGATATGTCTTTAGAATGTGGATTTCTCTTTGAAATGACACCCACTTAGTTCAATGAGAATACTTCTTTGTTATGTTATACGCTTAAAATATGGTAAGTGTTTTAATAAATTACGAAAAGTGTTGTTACAGGGAAAACAATTTTTGGATCCACACTTCTATCAACTGTATGCGGGTATGATTGAAATAGTCATGATATAAGAAGGAGGGGGAAAGACTGAATAATATCCCAACATTCTTCGTGAAGTATTCTTTAATTTCAACCAATATTACAGATTTTATGTAATATCTCTACAATATATTCAACACCATCCACCACAGTAGCAACGAAAATAAAATACTCTCGTATATACAGTAAACGTGGCAGAAGAAATTTCTGGGCACAATAATTGTGATTCCTGCAAGGTAACATTTTGTATAATAATTAATATTCTTTGCAATAAATAAAGAATTGGAGAGAAAGGCAATGAAGTATTATCCCTAATGCAAAGATGGAGAACACAGGTACTCCTGACCGGCTTTTGAAAGGTTCTTTTGAACACTTACGAAAACAAGCCACTTTTGCCTAGAAGGGAAATCTCTTCCATGCTTTTCTCCGGAAGAGATTTATAACATCTAGGCCTATGTACAATTGAACGTTTTTATAATCATATCAACATTAACATTCTCTAGTGATAATTTCATATATATAAATGTTGAACTATATACGTTCTTGTCAGTAATTTGGCCACTGATATTAAACATTAACACAGAAAACACTTCACACATGTACAAGAAATGTTACAAACCTTCGGAAGAATTACATTAAGAAATAATGTTCAGAGTGGTCAACGAAAAAGTAAATTATATTTTATAGAATTGAAATTATATTTTATAGTACTATCGTAAAAAGACTTTGTGGCATTTCTTGTACCCGCGAGTGCCGAGTATCGTATGTTTTAAAGTTTTCAGAACATTAGAAAAAGTAAAGTTTTATTTTCTTATGATCGAAATAAAGGAACTCTCCAAACTCACATGTCTCAGAAAAATCACTGAGAGCGGAATGTGCAAACTCTTTTGTTCAGGGACGTACAGCAACGATTCACTTCACTCCTCCCTCGGCTTTGTAGAGCCGTGTAATTACTTATCATATTGTATAATTTATGTTGAATTTCCCAAACAATACATTGTTACATGACAAAGAGAGTATGTAGTATAACGTACCGACTTTCGACGTATCCAGGTAACACAGACAAAAAATAAATACGTGTTTATGATATACGTATGAATAAGAATCGAAGAAAAAGAGCATAAATTCGAGAAGCAAGCAGCACAACTTGATGATAATGATTTGCTTTATATTTTATAGTGGTAATGTCTGCAACTTCAGCATATCACAACCACTTGATAGCGCCCAGTGTGGCCAACAACGGCCCACGATTCTTTGAACCATCGGATGTCACCAATACGTAGCGTCCGCGCGATGTAGAAAATAAAAACAAACAACAAAGTAACGAACAAAGAACTTAAAAAAAAGAAGGGAGTACGCCACGGCCCGACCGACCGGCAGGAGGCACCGCTGCGCACGTGGACGAAATTCGCCGAACTGACAAAAAAAAGAGGACAAAACCCTTGCGCGGACCCCGTCTCGCCTCGCCTCGTCTCGTCTCCACTGCTGCTGCAACAGTGGCGGCGGCGCGGCGGCGGCGGCGGCGCGTGCTGGTTAGCGGCCGAGGAGGCGAAGGCGGCGGGCGGGCGCCCGCGCGCGCGTGCGAGCGATCTAAGCGGCCGTGGCGCGCGCCAGTCATGACGAGAAGGCGGCGGTGGCGGCGGCGAGCAGCAGCAGCGCGGCGCGGCCGCGGGGGGCGGGGGCGCGCGCGCGCGCGCGCCAGGTCCGACGTGTGGATCTCGCCCGGGGGCGACTCCTCGGAGAGGCCGGCCGCGTTGCGCCACTGCGCGCGCACCTCGTACCACGAGCCCGGCTGCAGGTCCGGCAGCGTGTACTCGTAGTCTGCAACACGCGCAACGCACTCGCCCGCTGCATTTGCATCTTACTAGCAAACTAGAGCGCCCAGTACTGCTTCGCTCTCGTAATGTATTAAGGCCCGTTCACAATGCAAACATAAAAGTTAGGACTACGTTCATACGTCGGACTCAACCACAATGCGTTCGCACAAGCATAACTCGTAAGACGTTAACTTAAAAGCTTCAAGCTTCTGTGCCAATGCTTACGTAAGGCTTAAGAAATGAACCAATCAGAGAACGGTAACTCAAAATCGAGAATCGAAATTGGAGCTAAGTCGATAGAAGAACTAACGCCATATCGGTCATAGACACAGTCGATATCTTGAAATCGATTCTCACATCCAACCAGAAAGTCTCACACCCAATAGAAACTTATTTTACTTACGTTTATGTGAGGCATTGTGAATACTTCAGTCTGTCGCTTATGTTAATGTTTATGTGTATGCGCTATGCTTATGTTTACGTTTGCATTGTGAATGGGTAGATATCGTTCAAGTAATAATTCCGGCCGACATTTCGCAATCGCAGGGCAGAACATGCGACGAAGACGCGCTTGATAAGCGAGGGCGCGGCGGGTTTAGTGGAGCTTCTGTCCAGAGGCGCTTCAAATGAAAACGCGTAAAGTAATCAACGACTCCCCCATTTTGCGACTATGTGCAAGACATATACATTCCGATTACGCAAATGTAAGCAATACGTTGACAAAGATTTATTGCAATTGGATGATCGGCACGACAGCGCATAGAAACAAACAATTGATTTTTATATATTAGATAATAGTATATAATGAAACGATGATGTAATGATGGGTATTAAGGCTCGAGCGTGATACTACGATATGAGCGAGTATCGTAAACTTTACACGAGTGTATTGATACCCCTTTACATCCAGTTTCATACGGTACATCATCTACGACTTACGGCAAATTTGGAAGTTGAACTTTTACTTTTAATTGTTTGGTGGCAGTTTACATACATAATTCAGCTAAGGCCACCTAGCGCACAGCTCCTTATTCCTACCTTACTTGTCACAGGTGGCTTTGGGTACCAGTCCGTCTGCGAGGAAGTACTGCGTTAGTCAAATAAGATCACGGGGAAATTACCATCCAATTTATTTAAAATAATATTCCACAAAAAAAAAGTTGGTAATAATAAAAGAAATTAAAACTGACAAGCATAATATAATAATAAATACAATTTTAATGTATATGATCGCACGAAACATTTTCTACCACGGTTCTCAATGATTAATTATAATTAAAATTAAGAATCAATACTTGGTTTGTAAACTTCTGTATTCAAGAACCTGTATCATAATGAGTATCACTGTCCAACTGGTTACCAAATGGTCATCAAATGGAAGTATTATACATTGAGAGTAGAAAACAAAACAATGCCGATGGTCCTCCTTTCGCCACCCCGTGCGCTTGTTGAGGATATCTCCACCACCAGACATCCCGCGTGCACACCCCGTTCGGCATGAACGAAATATGTTCTGACAGGATTAAGTTAAGTGAAGAGCTAGTGGAGAAACGTAAATTTACACACGCTTCTCTTGGGGTCCCGGCTTATAGGTAGGCAAGGTGTGCGGTGCCTTAGGGGCACGCACTACATACAAAACTAGGGGAGATGTGGTGAGTTTTAACAGAAGTCCCACACTGTAAATCAAATACATGTAATTTGTTGACATTTGAATACCACATTTGTATTCACGTATTTGAATTGAAGGACTTTTAAAAAATAACAGTCCAAAAACACAGGTTTTCAGGAGAGCGAAAAAAACATTCCATGACGAAATTGGTAGACATTTTAAGAATGAAAGCTATTGTAAACACTGATATCCGCTTGAGAGAAGTTAAGTGTTTTTTCTTCAAAAATTGAGAAATTAGTGTATCAAAATTACTTATTTGGGGCAGTAATATTACAGTATTTGAAGGAATAACGCAAGATGTTATTGCACTTAATCAATTTTGAATATTATAGACCAATTTATTATTCTTCGCCACTGCTGTTATCATTAGCAGTGTTTTCGTTTTCCACCTTAGCATCCACTGATGAGAAATTTAGATACAAATATCTGTTAGCAGGTGAGTGTAAATATTTAGACAACTTCTGAAGATTCCTTTGCGATTAAAACGTGCTTCTCTTTTAACATTCTTTGCTCTTTCTACATTCTCTTTCTTCACATCTAGTCATCTTTTTGTCTCTTCCACTCTGTTCTTTCTACATCTGACGTAGAATCTATTTCTTGGCTGTTACTTTCTCCCTTGCTTGCTTTGCTTCACAACGCAGAGGACGTATATGCCATAAGAACAGGTTGTACACTATCACCAAACTTCCAGAACAAAGAAATACTGGTTGTGCAGAATAATCACATACATAAAATTTTTGTGTGAGAATTTCTCCTTAAAACATTGTTACATCTTCAACATTGGGACGAGACTTTCAAAAAACATGGCGTCAATAAGCTAACTATTAATTTTTAAATATAATGTAAGAACTTCTTCACCTACCGTAACCTTGATGGTGGAACCTGAGTGACCGCGTGGCCCTGAGAGCTGCGCCGGCGGACCTCCCTAGCCGGAGACAATGCTGATCCCTACCAACTCCTTCACCACCCAGAATTACCTCACCCACCGAAACGATAGAACCTTTGCCCCAGGAGGCGGCACGGCCATCCTAATTAAACAATCCCTCCCACACACAACCTACCAACTTCCCCAATTCACCGCCCTCGAATGTACTGCCATCCTACTTGTAACCCCCACTACTCCCATAATTATTATATCAGCTTACAAAAGACCCCACTCCTCCTTTCCCACCTCTGACTTGAACATCCTCAACAACCTACCCTACCCTTTCATCCTTACCCCACCCAAACAGAGGCAGACAGATACAGATAGAGAGACAGAGAAAGAGAGAGAAACAGTCAGACACAGATATAGAGACAACCAGAGAGGGACAAGAAGACAAAGACAGGATGAGGCAATGATAGAGAGAGACAAAAACAGACTGACACAAAGATCTGTCTAGATAGAGAGAGACACGGAGTTACGCCAGGTATTTTGATGGTATTAAATATAATACTAAAATGTATCTCTGAAACTCTCAATGGTGAAAAACAGAATGGTTTAGAAATGGGAGATCAACTACAAACAATATATTCATTCTGCAACAAATAATAGAAAAAAGAAAGGAATTCAATCAGCAGACAAACATTGCTTTCATAGATTTTGTAAAAGCTTTTGATAATGTAAATAGTTTGAAACTCTAATCGATAATGGAAAATAGTGGCTATCCTCAAAAGTTAGTAGAAGCAATAAAGAGCTTGTATAAAAACTCTACTATTGTAATAAAAGTACAAAAAAATAGGACTGATGAAATATTGATAAACAGTGGAGTGCAACAAGGTTGCCAAGTCCACAAACATTTTTTAATATTTATATTGATAAAATTATCCAAAATTGGAAGCAAACAATTTACAAAGGTATTAAGATATCAAAAGAAAATATTTTAAATATTTTACTCTATGCAGATGATGCTTTAATATTCTAGGGAAAAGAAGGTAATTTACAGTATGCATTATTCCACTAAATCATTTACGTAAAAAATACGTTGTTGAAATACTAAATGAAAAAAACAAAGCTGACGGAATTTTGGGGCAACCATCTAATACAATAAAAAATTATTTTGGACAAAATAATTTTAGAGCAAGGTTCCATTTTCAGCTATTTTGGTTGCCTAGTCGATTATCGATCGGCAAGGTTCCAAAGAATTTGTGATATTACACATAATGCACTATAAAATAAGAAATGGCAAGATACAAGAATAAAGTTTTATAAGACTATGAATCTTTCAACTCTGACCAAGAACCAACTGACCTAGGTACCAACAGAAAGAACCATAAGAACAACAGGCCGCTTTTTCCTTCAATGAATATATACAATCTATTTCAAAATTGAAATAATAAGGAAACACTATAACAAATGAATAACAATAACGAATGAAATAAAATGAACATTACCCATTGATAATTTTCTTGGGATCCTTTTCTTATCTATAATAAAAAGATGATTAAAATATGATTACATTGTTTTGAGGATTAAGAATATATGAAAATGTTAAGAGCAAAACAAAAAACAAAAACAAAAAACAAAACAAAAAACAAAAAAGAAAGAATTAGATAAATATTAATTATTAATACAGGCTGCTGAAATGAAGTTTTTGAGGAGAACACTGGCTGCCTGAAAGAAGATCATATTAGTAATGAGAAGATTAGAGAAGTGGCAAGGCAGTCTTGTTTTCAGGATTTAGATACCTATGACTGCTTTGGGGAACCGCCCCCTGTGGTTCCCCCTGGATAATGCTAAAAGTTCATCAAGCTAGTGCAATATTGCTTCCACTTACTTACATTGCGCTTCTGTTAACTTTCCTTGTATATTCCTTGTATCTTCTCTTGGCCCCTTGCTATATCTTCCACACCGATGCCATAAGGTTTTGAGTGCTAGGGTGTCATTCATTTGTCTATCTTTACTTTCCTTCCCTTTTATTCTTTTTTTGTCCCTCTTAACTTGTTATCTTCCTTATTTTCTTCTTCAGCCTTTCATTTTCATCCACACTGATGGGTTTGACAAGGATGGAGGTCCATTTTTCTCTCCCTAGGGGAAGGAGTTCCCTGAAGATAAATCAAGCCTGATCAGAGGCTTTGAGGTAGCAGCCTGCATATGGATCAGTAGCTCTATCAAGTAAATCGATTACTAGATTCTTCCAGAACCATAGCTGAACTCACCATATGACAATAAATATGCGAGAAAAAGGCAAAGAATATGGATTAGCGGAACAACAACAAATATGTGGGTGAAATATTAGATCTCTTAAGTAAAGAAGAAGAATTATTAGTAACTTTACGAAGAGAAAAGATAATCGATATATTAATAATCTGAGAAACAAACAAAAACTTGAAAGGAACAATGAATATAGGTGAATATACAATAATATACAGTGGAGTCTTGCAAGTAGAACATGCAACATCATTTGTAGCTACAATTCTGAATCAGAAACGGGCCAAAAGAATACAATCTTATAACTGTATCTCTAATTGAATTGTAACTGTAAAGTGTAAGGTAGACAGAGGATTTATTTCCTTCATTTGTGTCTATGCACCAGAAGAGGGAAAGAAACAGAAAACCGAGAAGTTTTATTGTCTACTTCAAAAAGCTATAGGTGAAATAAATAAGAGTGTCTACATAATAATTGAAGACCTAAATGCCAGAATTGGAAAATTCAAAATGAATGATGTTATTGGTAAATGTAATGAAGATAATGTGCTAAATTACAACGGAAAAACTATGCGAGATTTTGCTTGCTTCAATAGCCTAAAATGTACACATGGTTAGAACGTGGACAGAGTAGCACTATTGATTACATCTTAGCAAATGAAAAGACAAGAAGACTTCATTCAAGTAAGAGTATATCCTGGATGGGATATATACAGTGACCATTTTGCATTGGTGGGGAAATTGAAAATCTACAACAATGGTATGAAATGAAGAAAAATGGTTTCATCTGGCAACAGGCAGCGGAAAGTCTATTTCCATCAAGAATGTCGTCTCCATAAAACTATTATAGCAACATCGACTAGATGAAATAAATGGAAAGTACCCTGAAAGCCAAGATGGCAAAGAAGAATGGAAACGTATTAAAACAGTGATGGAGACTTCAGCAATGGAAGCAAATGGTACTTCTACTCAAAGAATGAAATGTAAGAGGCTATGATTATGGAATAAGGAGGTACAGGAGGTTGTGAATACAAAGAGAGGCATATTTGAAATATCCAAGTGGTAGAGACCCCATGTCAAAAGAAGAGTATTCGACTGCATCACGTTAGTTAAGAAGTCTTACAAGGCAGGTACAACAAGAGGGCTGGGACAGATACCTGGAGCATGATATACATGGGCGCCAGACAACATCTAAATATAGAGGTGAAAGATGTAGCTAATATTGAAGTTGTGAAACCTGAACAATTTCTCTCTTATTATAAATGATTATAGACAGAACCTGGTCATGAAAACAAAGAAGAGCCCTCAGAAACAGAAATGAAAATATATGAAATAGAATATGAGGAACTGGAAGATGCCTTAAGAAAAATAAAAAAATTGGAAAATGAGTGGAAGGGATGCCATTAAAGACGAAATAATAAAATATGCCTCAGAAAATTTAATGAAAGGGCTCTTACACTTTCTCAGTCCAATCAATGTTGGAAAAAAGTGCTGAAACTACAAGAGGGGAAAATTGCAGTAATATGCCCCATCTTTAAGAAAGGAGACATCGCGTCTTGTGAAAATTAAGAGGAATAAGCCTTTTAAATTCTTGCTTACAAGATCTATTCAAGAATAATCACATCCAGAGTACATAATATTGCAGAGACAATGTTATTGGAAGAACAAAACAGATTCAGGTAGCGCAGATCTTGCTGCGATAATAACTTCATTGTCAGCCGATCATTGAGAAACAAAGAATATAATAAAAGAACACATGCTCTTCATAAATTACTCTAAAGCTTTTGACACATTAAACAGAAATGTACTATATAATCACTATATAATATATTGCATTGTAAAGGTCTCCCACCACAGCTAATTGTGGTCATTAGGAATATCTATAATAACTCAGAAATTTGTATCAAGGGTCAAGAGAATAAGAAAGAGATAATAAACCTAGGAATAAAACAAGGATGTAGTCTATCCCCAATTCTTTTTAATTTATATTTAGATGAAGCATTAAATATGTGGATATCAGGACTAAAATCTTATAGTCATGACTTGGGAAAAGAAAGAAACCTACTGACTACATTATTCACAGATGACCCATTTCTAGTAGCAAATGATGAATATAGCCTCCAGAAAGCACCGTTTGAATTACAAAAGGTAACTGAAATCTACAACCTCTGCATGTCCTCTACAAAAACAAAAGTCATGGCCTTTGAAGGGATGGAACTGATTTTATCCAAATTAGTTGTATATAATTCACCTATAGAGCAAGTGTAAGTTTCAATTTCTTGGGATACAAAATGTTATACACACAGAGGAGAAATAGATACACAGGGGAAAATTGATAGACTAAATTGTGTAAACGGAACAATCCCCAGAACCCTTGAAAAAAAAGTCAGAAAGCACACTATGATTAAATTCTACAAGGTATTAAGTATCCCAACATGTTTATGTGGAAGTGAAAATTGGACAATGACCAAAAAAGATAGCACAAGACTACAAAGTGCTGAAATGAGATTTCTGAAATCAGTGGGTGGTTATAAGCTGATGGACAAAAAAAGAAATTTAGAAATTCGTAAAGAACTTGGGGTATTTAAGAATGGTGATGGTATTTAAGAAGGTAATGAAAGTGAATGTTGGACATTAACTAAAGACCAATTAGAAGATTAGAATCAGCAGAAATGAAGTTTCTTCAAACCATAGCAGGTTATACACATCTTGAACACAAGAAAAGTGAAGAAACTGGAAACAAATTAAACATTTTAAGTGTGAATGACAATATTAAAGAATATATAGAAAATGGAAAAATCATTTATTAAGAGTGCCCGAAGAAAGGATAGTCAAAGTTGCCTTGATCTACAAGACACAGGGAGAAGAAATGTGGCAAGACCTCTGAGAAGATGGAGTGAGCGGTTTTCAGGAGTTGGAAACATGAAGAAAACATGAAGTTTGAACTAATGCCTAGGTATGTACAATATACAATACAACAAACACCAAAATATACATACATATACAACAAAAGGAATTTTTATGAACTTTTTCCATGTAAACTTCACTTGCCCTGAGGGGTATTGGTTTTCAAAATGCAGTAATGAAATGACATCCGGCGCATGTGGCCCCTCCTCTGAACAACCACCTAATTCAATTTGAGTAACTTTTAATTGGAAAAACGTTTTAGTCAAAGAATATCAAAAAAGAAAACAGGAAAAAGGACAGAAAATAAAACAGGACAGAACAAAGATGAAAAACAATTAAATTGTTTCCGGGAAGGACTGGACTGATATGGAAAAGAAAGCAAGTTGGAGGGGACGGTTGGGCAAACTGGCGGTGGATATTCTGGAGATGAACAATTCACTCAGGATACTGAAGCATCAGTGGGGAGAGAGAACAAAGAGGATCATAATCATTCCAGAGAAAGATGAGGTGAGTGAGAGGAGGATGAAGAGATTTTGGAACTAGGGAAAGACAACGACCTTGAAAGAACTATCCTTGGTTCTATGGAGCACACAAGGTAAGCAGAAGAAAGAGGAGAATTACAAAAAATGAAGATGGAGAAAGAAGGGATGGGATGGGCACAAGGGTGAGTAGGTGGCATGAAGAAGACACATGGATCAACAAATGAAGTAACGCTGAGAAGCTAGTGGAAAAAATATGAGAGTACTGGAAAATAAATTATGTAACTCTGAGAAGAAAACAGAGACGTTATGACAGAGTATGAGGAAACAATAATGAAGTAAAGATGAGAAGCAAGTGAAGAATTCTAACGGCCGGCTATTCTGATCGGTAGTTTTCCGTGGTTTCTCTGATCAACATCAGGCGACTGCTGGAGAAGCAATCTAGCAAACAGGCCACGGAGCGAGCGAGCGATATTTCCTTCCTCTTCCTGGTCGTATCCTCACTTCCATCCTTACTTCCTCACACAGCTGCATGCCTACCATATTCGTCGGGAGCTTAGAGCTGGTTCCGGCTGGGCCGGTGGGAGATCCCTGTTGGGGAAAACCCGGAAGCTGATGGGTAGCTCGACGCCGGGTCTGCCCCTCTCGAAGAAAACATGCAATACACTTACGGGACTAATGTCGTTAGACGTTGACGCATCTAATGAAGAGAAGAAGTGGGAGTAGGCGGTGCGACATCGTTGTTAAGGTTTTGAAAACTTTGTTACGTTGAATCCAATGGTTTTTCAACATAGGCGCGAAATGCCGAGAGATTTTCCATTGTGAAGACTGAGCTTCACGCGCCACGTTATAAAACCCAAGTATAGGTAGTGTCGGAAGTGGCCACCTACGCTGCGGCAACGTGGTGGACTACAGCACAGAAGTACTCGGCTCATAGCACGCCCTCCGTTTCCTAAACGGTTGAAAGAACTTGATATGGTGTCCTTCACACTCAATGCTTGAGACGGCTGTCGTTTAGCTCGACACTCGGCACTCCCCTCTGAGGGCGTAGTGCAACACAGCAGCCGATTCGTCTATTGACTAACCGCGTCGGCCATCCCGACCTCCCGGAGCCAAGGCAGAGGCGTACCTTCGTTGAAGGGCAGGTCGACGACGCGGGGCGGGGCGTGGGGCGCGCCGGAGGGCCGCACCAACAGGCGCAGGCCGGTCAGGTCGAGCGAAGTGGGGCCGGCGGCGGGGGCGGCGGCGGGCGTGGCGGCGTCGGCGGGCGCGGCGGGCGTGGGCGGCGGCGCCGTAGGAGGGCGGTCAACGCGCAGCAGCGCGTGCCGCGCGTCCGCCGCCTTCTGCGGCTGCGGCGCCGACGGCCGCGGCGCGCGCAAGCCCCACTTGAGCGTCAGCACGCGCGCACGCGCGCCCAGCGCGTTGTTGGCGCGGCACGTGTAGTCGCCGAAGGCGGACGCCGCCGTCAGGTTCAGCTGCGAGCCATCCACAAACACTCAGAATCAAAAAAATGCTCAGGCCCAACGACACGTCGACGCGCTCAATCCAAATCTCAAGCCAGTGTTGTGCTGCAACTTTTAATTTCTTTAATCGCGAAAGACACAGCAAAATTTGCAATATGCGCGGTTTTCCACGATTAAAAAAAATGAAGGTGGTGGCGCAATTCTGGCTTCAAATTCGGATTCAGTGCGTCGAAATACAGTAGTGTACAAATTAATTGGGGCAAGTCGATTTAACTATAAATGTTGACATTTATTACTACGGGTACAGGTACATAGTTAGTTGCGTGCTACATATTAGTAACTAATATGTCCTTCTTTAGCTGAAATAAGCTTCTGAACACGTGGCATAGATTCTACCAATTTAGAGAAAATATTTCTAAGTTCGTCGTCATGAAACCACACGTTACATTTTTTAACGCTGAAGAGCAGCATACAGATCTTCTTATGAGCATTTGTGTGCATTTAGCACAAACAACTAAAAATATGTAGCTGTATTAAAATCTAACTATTCAGCATCGTTCATACCTGCAACTATTTTTTACGGTTTTTATAATTTTTAAATTGCAATATTACCAGATCATATCCCCGAATGGAGGTAACGTACAAGGCAATTTGGCTTTGGAAAACTTTGGTCAGGAATGAAACATCATTAGCTACTACGATTCAGTGATATGTCCAATGCCAGAGACAGAAATAACTTTTTTGAACAAAGCTACGCATGACAAATTTTCAACACATGAAATACGTTTTTGTATTCAAGCATTATATACGACATTTTCTGTTACAAGAAATCGTTTATAATAGGGCATTTTACTACAGAAGTGATGACGTATTAGCATTCTACGGCGCGAATGATTGCGTCAGCCAATCGCAGCGAGAGAATCGTGGGAAGGAAAGGTAAACTCAACAGACAGTTTTCTCGCACAGATTTCAAATATTCGAAACGTCGCAAGTCAGTTCTTTTGCAAAATTAAAATTTGATTATCTTATAAATGTATCATGCCGTTATAAAAAAATAGCGTAAGCAACGCGTTTATATGTAATAAATATGTAAGATAAGGTTTATTGCATTCGCACAAATTTTGAAAAGTTTTGTGAACAAGCAGCATTAGGAACAAATCCTCATGCAATAAAGTTAACATTATAAACTAACAATCCCTAAACTACAGCGTTCAACTAGTACAACGCTGGGCCAGGCGCACCTGCAGAGTGCTGTTGCGTCCGTCGCCGAAGATGGCGGCGTTGTCGCCCAGCTCCACCACGCTCTTCCCGCGCAGCCACGTGATGTTGCCAGCCGGCTGCGCCTCCGCCACGCACGTCAGGTTGGCCAACCCTCCCAGGTAGCCGTACACCAGGTCGCCGGTCTTAGCGTAGTCCGCGTGCCACTCGGGCTCGTCTGCACACACACACACACCGGTCTCAACAAACAGCGGGCTACCCCACACACGCATGGTTATAAGGCAATGAGGGGTTTACCTCAACTTCCTTCATATAACTCAAACACATTATTAAACACAGTACACTTGCATAATACTGGATTTAAATAGCACATTACACATACGGAATAATATTTGAAGTTTTGTATGTCAGAAGTAGAAGATCATGACCAAATCCAACACAAGGAACGCACTACACTAGACTATTCAATTGCTCACCAATTTGATAAGTGCCAATGCATAAAGTAGTAAGATGAAGTGCTACTTAATTAAATTTAAGTAGTGAAGTCAAAGTGGACAGTGTTACTTATTTTGTGTGTAAATAGCGCTTCTATAAGGAAATTCCCGAATTGGGTGCAATACCACAATA